TATCTGGTACTGTGATCCCTCCAATGTTGTTCTTCTTTCTCAAGATTGTTGTAGCTATTCAGGGTCTTTTTTTATTCCATATGAATTTTTGGAGAGTTTGTTCTAGGTCTTTGAAATATGCCATTAGTATTTTAATGGGGATTGCACTCAATCTATAGATTGCTTTTGGTAGTATAGACATTTTAATGATGTTGATTCTACCAATCCATGAACATGGTATGTTCTTTCATTTGTTTATGTCTTACTCTATCTTTTTTCAATGTCTTGTAGTTTTTAGAGCACAGGTATTTTACCTCTTTAGTTAAGTTTATTCCTAGGTATCTTAATTTTTCCATTACTGTGAATTTTTGATGAGCATCTCTGGTGTTCTGATTCTGGTGTGCCATGGACCATGCTTGGAGAAACACTTCTGTAATTAGTGGAATCTAAGTATAGGGTGAGATGAAGGGGTCAATGCAAACACAGGGAAATCAATGAAGAGGCCATTTAGCCTGGCTGGCATGGCTCAGTGGTTGGGTGTTGATGAACTGGGAGGTCATGATTCGATTCCCGGTCAGGGCACATACTCATGTTTCGGGCTCGACCCCCAGGGTGGGGTGTGCAAGAGGCAGCCGATCAGTGATTCTTTCTCATCAGTGATGTTTCTGTCTCTCCCTTCTTCTCTCTGAAATAACTAAAAAAACATATTTTTGAAAAGAGTCCATTTAGCCCCACTCTATTGGGACTATATTTATGGTAATGTAAGAGAGAAAAAGTGGGAAGGAGTTGTTTTGGTTTAAAAAAAAAGAGTCCAAATTGCTGATGGGATAAGATATTGAGGAGACAGTTGGACATAAAAGTGTGATAGTGAGAGAAGGTTTGAAGATTTGGTTGTCATCATCATATGAGTCAGTAGTTAAAACAATGAGAGTAATGAGAATATCCAGGGAACTGTAAAGTGAGGAGTTGGGAACTGAGGACAGATGCCTGGGGGAACACTTGGGAATGCCTGTGGTGTGAGGAGATTAGTTAATCTACCCAAGTTAATTTTAGGAGGGTCATGTTCAAACCCCCATGTGCTGGCTGGCAATAGAAGCAGATCCAATCTATCACTTCCGAGTTTTCAAGTCCTCCTCATTCTATGTCCGGGTCCCCTGTATTGCACATGTATCTTGGTGGAGGCTGACTCCAATTGGAGAGAGGTTTGAGAGCAGCTGGTTGCTGAGCAGACACCAGATTTGCTGAATTATTACAAAGCACAGACGCCGAGGTATATCCTATTATCCCATGGTGGTCAAGATGCTAGGCTATCATTATTCCATTGGTTATCAGAACACTATTTGTGTATCCCAGTGGTACCCTTCCTGGAAGGACTTAAGGTCAAACAAAACCCTTTAGTTAAAGCTGTTTCTATTTCCCGTTGCTTCGTAAATCCAAATTTCCCACTGGGTGCAGACATGCTATTCACAGGGCACCAGACAGTTCTGTATTATAATGGCAGCTAGATCAGCCTCAAATAAGACCCTATATTTGTCATGAATAAATAATTCAGCTGAATGAATAAAGGAAATAACAAACGGTTTCAGCATGAGTAGGGAGGGGAAAAAGTTAATAAATCAACTGATAACAGAAAAACTGAAACTCTCAGGGTGTCCAAAAGTAGAAAGAAGATATAGTTGGAAGATCATGAAAGAATCATGTGGTGGAGGCATTGCAGGTAATAAAAAGATCTGACTGGATAGCTGGCTTCGGAGTTGGCAACCACAGAGAGTAGAGATGAAAGTCAGTGGTATTAAGGAATGCAAATTAGGATATTTAATGGGTTCTCTGTAAGAACACTGAAACCTCCAAGGGTTCATAAAATGACTGAGCTAAAATACCACAAGTCTTTAATTAAGGAAGGGAAGTAACCAGGAAGAAAGTGAGAATAATGAGAAGTGTCAGAGAGTATCTTTGGCCAGATGTGGAGACTCTCAAAGGAGAGCTAGCTTTGATGCAAGGATATAGGCTGCAGAGAGCAGCCTGGGGATTCCTGCCCATCCTCCCACCCCTCATTCTTACTCAGTAAACTGTGGACTGTGGGAAAGAATGGCCTCTACCAGGAGACTGATGGAGACCCAGGTATCACTCAAGGCTAAGGATGTGTACAGGAATGGTTAACAATGCAATTAAAGTTCAAGTACACAAAAGGGGAGGTTAGGAAAGGACCAACAGCAGGAGGTCCTTTGTTGGGGTAGAAGCACAGATCGGTACTAGGAGTTTGCAGCAGGAGTGGGGAGTGAGCCTTTCAGTAGATGCCCAAGAACTACAGGTATTAGAGGCATATCTGTGTGAGAGGCAGCAGATGCCCTGACTTTGATACAAGTGGATGAACTGTAGTTCACTTGGACAGCACTGTGCTCAGAGCCCGGGCACAGGCCTTGGCTATGAAGAGAGGAGCATGGTCTCATTTTCAGGAGGCAACTTATCTGTCTGGTGATTTCAACATAAACTTGACCTCCCCTACTTCCTCTCCCTTAGAGAATGTGAGACAGTTGTGGATTCCAAGGCTAATGCCAGTCTTATTGCCAAGTGTCAAACAATATAACTAGTTTCCATGGCTGAATATTGAAGCACACTTTCATATGCATTTCATTTCTGCTATGGCCTATCTTCTTTTGAAGCAAAATATAATGTGATTTGGCTTTCATTTCTTTTCAGAGTAGTGGAAATGCAAGAATCCACCTCTGTGGCAGAAATGCAACAGCTGTACCAACATTCTATTCTTCTATGAGCACTGCCATTGTCATTTTCAAGTCCGAAGTTTTTAATGACAACTCCAGAGTGAGTTTTACCTATCAGATTGCAGGTGAGCCCTGGAACTTTATCTTTTGTATCGAAAATCTTTCATCAGTACAATTATTGCTGGAATGGACTCCTGAGGGTAAATTAGGGCTTGTTAGCTTGAGCCACACCCATATGAGGTGAGACTCTCTTCACTAGAAACCAGGCCCAATTTAGCAAGTTACTAAAGCTGGTTTCCGAAGAGGTCAAGCTAATATAATACTAATTCAAATGTTTAGAATGTCAGCATACTCTTCAAAGTTCACATAGTTAACAATTTAAAATTATATGTTATTTTATTAGTTATCCACTTGAACATTTATAGAAATCACTATAGCTTAGAACATTTTTTGTCAAAAGCAGGAAGCTTTGAAAGGCTATTTGATTACTAAGACTGAGAAGTTTATTTTCAGAGAATATTTTCTTTCATGTTCATTCCAACCTTGATTAAAACTAACACTGCCTTTGATTAAAACAAACAAATAAAAACACTATGGTGTTTTCACCAAAAATGGTTAAGAACAACAATTTGCCAGTTCAATCAGAACAAATAATCCATTAAAGGGAAATCCTCATACAAGACTCTGTCTTGGAGGTAGAGACTTTATTCGTGAAAGAGTCTAAATGTCAGCCAACCACCTCAGTGTGATCAGAAAAAGCACAGAAAATTCTAGAATACTCATCTTTAAAGGTAAGTGCTCCTATTTCACATTTCATGTGGGGGTGTTTCCTGTTGCCAAAACCCTGCATAGCATTTGCTCCCTGTGCCCTTCACCTCCCCTCAGGGATCCCAGTGACCTCAAAGGTAGATGCAGAGCCTGGGTTAGTTTTTTTCTAAAGTGTTTAAATTTAGTCATTTCTTGAATTATTCCTATCAGGTTGAAAGAACACTAACTATTGGGATACATACATTAATTGTGAATTTTTTTATCTAAGGTTGTAACAGAAACTATAAAAAGGCGTTTGGCAATCTGAAGAGCCCCGGATGGCCTGCTAATTATAACAATGACATGGATTGCACTGTTACTCTCACAGCCCCACAGAACCACTCCATTTCCCTCTTCTTCCACTCCTTTGGCATCGAGGACTCAAGTGAATGCAGACATGACTTCTTGGAGGTAACATACATTTGGATCTCATGCAAATGAATTATTTAAAAGATGATGGATCACTTCAAGTTTTTCACCTTTTTCTCTGCTGCTGCTAAAAATATATCCCTTACTCATTTCATTAATTTATTTCTTATTATTTCACTCCATAAGTCTCCTATGGCCAGGCACCAGAAATGCAATAGGGCTCCCAGGAGGCGCATGGTCCAGTGGGAAGGCCAGGCAGGAAATAGTCAACTCCCACAGGATGTGGGAAGGACGAACAGAGTCACATGGGGGACAGAGAAAGCTTCTTGAAACTTCGCATCCTCCTTCCACCCTCCACTCCTCCCCAAACACAAGAGAGCAGCCTCCTGGGCCTGGAGCAAGCAGAGGCATGCTCCTCCAGCTCTTGCCCCTCTGTGATTCCTGTGATTCCTGGGGCACCAGCAGAGTGCCCTCTGCGCCCTTTCTGCCCCACATCACCCACGTTGTGGAAGTGAGGACTGGCGTTGTTATTCATGGGAAGATGTTCTGAATGAGGCCATGACTGGTGCGGGCTGTGTATGGAGCCCAGTGCCTCTATTTTGCCATGAAAGTCCCAGGGCTCCCCTGGGTGTCCTTTACAAGCTCTGTGGAAAATGAGTTCATTCTGAGGAAATAAAGTGGTCTGCACAGAGGATGCTGAATTCTCTGCTCTCTTTGAGTCTGCAGTAAGGTTTCCATAAGGTTCGTTCACTCCTTTACACCTGTTATGGAGTTTAATTTTCCTGGAAAGCTCTCCTCTACAGAATTCATCTAAGTCAGTGGTTTTCAACCTTCTGGCCCTTTAAATACATTTCCTCATGTTGTGACCCAACCATAAAATTATTTTCATTGCTACTTCATATCTGTAATGTTGCTACTGTTATGAATTGTAATGTAAATATCTGATATGCAGGATGGTCTTAGGGGACTCCAAAGGTGTCTCGACCCACAGGCTGAGAACCGCTAATCTAAGTCCTTTGTTGATGAATATTCTTAACCTATAATGTGACAAGTAGTGGGAGGAAGTTCCTACCTTTTCCATGGGGAATACTTGCCCTGGTAGGAAACTGGAGAGGAGAGGGATGTAGCAGGGAGGAGTCAAGGAGAGAAATACAGTACTGTTTGTGTTCAATCAGGGTGTTCAACTCAGACCTATGTACCTCACGCACCACGGAATCTAAACATTTGTATGAAGCACAAAGCAGAAAGGAGGGGAGGAGTGGGATACCGGGAAGGACAGACTACCCGGTCATTTTGGAATCCCACTGAAGCTACATCCTGCTCACCTCAAGCCTGAGTTGATCATCACTGACTGGAGTTAGTGTTTGTTCTTTGCCTTTGTCCGCTGGGAGTGAAGGCCAGCTCTCGAGCACTGACAGATGAGGACTTCTCCTCCCAGCTGTCCTTCCTTATCCCACAGAAATGGGTCTGAAACTTCTTGTCCTACGAACAAAAACAGGAAGCTGCTACTTAGGCCTGTGAAGTGCAGCTGCATCTGGTTGTTGGTGGGAAGATCGTGGCACGGTTCACGTGGCTGCCATCCCAGCAAACCTCGGCCTTCCATTGGTTAGCTATGGCAGGAACAGAAATTTCTGAGGATCCCAACTGTATTAATCAACTCAAAGGCCAAGCCCTAGATCACATTTGGAATTTGCACTTGTCTTCAGATCTTTGAGACCCTCTCTTCTCAGGGTCCTCTAATGTCCCGGAGATGTCTACCACTCTCATGGTTCCTGCAAAGAGAAAAATGTATAGAATAAGTCATTAGCATGTTCCATGGGAATCAATACCTTGCTCATCTCTTAGAGCATCAGCTTTCCTAAAGATAATCAATAGGAAAAAGGCCCAAAGCCAAGAGTATTGTGATGGCACATCTGGTCCTCCAGCATCCTTGGATTGGCACCGTCTCTGTCTCCTGGTAGATAACTGGCTACTCTGTCCATGGCAAGGCACTCCAAAAAGCACCAGAGGCATTATTCCCTCGATTGGCGACTACATAGACCTAAAAGGAAACTCTGCAGGTTAACACACCCAGCAAGATGAGCCCCTGGGCCTCTGAAGACACGCTATGACTTAGAACAATCAGCAGTGGACTAAATGTAAATGTTAAACTACAAAATTATAAAGGAGGAACTTCCAAGATTCTGAGTACCTATATTAACAAAACCACCACCTCTGCTTTGCCTGGAGTCCTCCTCGAATGCACAGGAGGAGCCAGGCCTGAGGACAGATGAGGCTAAGTTCACAGTGTGCACATGGTTTTCTGTGTGTCTACTCCATGCAGTGAATTTAAAAAAAAAATCTAGTCAGCTGCAAAATGTATTTTTAAAATGTATCTTAACAGTAAGAAATTTTGTCAATTGAGTTGCCTCCTTTTTCCATATAGAAATTTCTTTCATTTGAGCTTTATATGCTTTACTAGAGGCCATGTGCACAAAATTCATGCATGGGGTGGGGGTCCCTCAGCCTGGCCTGCACCATCTCACAATCCGGGACCCCCTCAGGGGTTGTCCGACTGCTGGTTTAGGCCTGATCCCGCAGTGGGATTGGGCCTAAACCGGCAGTCGGGCATCCCTCTCACAATCTGGGACTGTTGGCTCGGAACCTCTCACCTGCCTGCCTGCCTGATCACCCCTAACCACTCACCTGCCTGCCTGATCACCCCTAACTGCTTGCCTGCCAGCCTTATCACCCCTAACCACCTCTGCCTGCCTGCTTGATCGCCCCTAACCTCCTCTGCCTCAGCCCCTGCAGCCGCAGCTTGAACCGGAAGGATGTCCCGAATGACATCCAGCTGTCCGGTCTAATTAGCATATTACACTTTTATTATTATAGATTATATGCTAATGTGTAGCAATGATAAATCAAAGAAGTATAACATACTCAAGGATAATAATTCATGACTCATTTTTAAAGGTAAGAAATGGAAGTGATAGCAGTTCGCCATTACTCGGCACATATTGTGGAACTCTGTTGCCAAATCCTATCTTCTCTCAAAATAATGAACTGTACCTGCGATTTAAGAGTGATAGTGCAACTTCCAGTCATGGATATGAAATTATCTGGACCTCAAACCCCTCTGGTAAGACATTTGCACTTTGTGTGGTAAAGCAATGTAGGTGAGTAAAACATAATGTGCCTAATAGAAAAAGACCATTAAAAGTGACCTTTTTAGCCATCTGTATACTTGATTATTTTCTGATAAAAGTAGAGATTTTTAACAATGAACGTACAAAGATTCTATTTAATTCTTTTACTCATTTCTGTAGATTATGTTAAAGAATATACATTTACATATAGTCTAAAGATTTTAAAAATTCCTTTATAAATTCTGATTTTGTCATATTTTTTACTTTTGAGTTAATCATCAAGGTAGTTCTCTGAGAATTAAAAGGAAAAGTTTTTTTAAAAAGACACATTACAACCCTGTCCTTGTGCGTACAAAAGCAGCTGTGCTCTGGGCAGCTCCTGCCGTTTCTGGGCAGTCCTGGAGGTTAATTGCTTTTTCAGGGTAATAAGTACCTTTCTGCATCTTTGATTGGTTGTTTATCAAATAATGAAGGAAATTTAAGCCATGTCATTATCTTTAAACTCAAAAGAGAAAGAATACTTTGTGACATGTCCTCAAGATACCTAAAAACTTTCAAAATAAGAATGATAAAAATGACATTTAAATACACTGAGGAATAAGAAAAGGGTTCTATCAAGACAATCATAGGTGATGGAATCTTGGCGCCTAAAGATACTTAAGGATGAGTTTCAATGCCCTAATTTCACAGATGAGGACATACAACACCGAACTAACGAGTTGCCCAACACGCAGAGCTACCAGTAGATTGTGGTGGAGGCAGGACCAGACGCCAGTGGGCAGAACCCAGCCCATTTTGTTTGTTTTGTCATGCCAAGTATCTTCCTCCTGTGCCGCACCATATCTGGATACCCAAGGCTATCTGGTCTGAATAATGATAGTATACAAATAAACAAATGAATACCAACACTTACTTTTTTTGGCTTCAAGTATGTCAATCGTGGAACTGCCAGTGATAAGCCCAGTCAAGTCACTTTTATAGTAATTACTGCCCAAACATCCAGTAACATGTTTTCTGTTCAGCCCTGAAATTTCACTTTTATTTCACCCACATCATTGTAAGAACTCACTGCTTATGGAGAACTCTACCATAAAAAGTACACAACAACTTCAATTACTCTCCCCTACAGTTACCTAACCTAGTTTTCGGTTTTCCCATTGTGTTTGCAGCCCACCATTTTCAAAGAACTGACCTGGAGGAAGCTGCCCCTAAGTCATGATAGAGGGAAAGGAAGATGTGGTGCAGAAAGGGGTGGGGGAGGCCTGGGGGGCAGCCTGGTGGTGAGGGAGTCAGAGGGACTTGGCTCAAAGGAGAAACAGGAAAAGGGTCTCCGCCTCCACTGCTCTTGCAGAGGGTCTCAGCACCTTAAGGAAACAACAGCCCCATCTTATTGCCTTACAAGTGCACTAAAGGACTCCAGCTGTTTCCTTCTTTGTTGAATCAAATTTCCTGCAATTCTTTCTTGCAGGCTGTGGTGGAACTCTTTATGGCGACCATGGCTCCTTCACCAGCCCTGGCTATCCGGGCACTTACCCAAATCACACTCACTGTGAATGGGCCATCACCGCTCCTGCTGGAAGACTTGTCACCGTCAACTTTTACTTCATCAGCATTGACGATCCTGGAGACTGTGTCCAGAACTATCTTCTACTCTATGATGGACCAGATGTTAATTCTCCATCCTCTGGACCATATTGTGGCACAGTGAGTAGAGCAAGATTTTCAAATTCCCATTTATTATGTTTAAATAATGAAAGTAACTCAGCATACACTTTTAAAGGCAGACACATGCAAAGTACAAAGCACAATGTACTGTTACATATTCCGTACAGTTTTCAGATTTTTCTTTCTATTTGGGGGAGAATGAGTGCCACCTAGTGGCCATTGCATTAAATTAATAGTAATATAGTTTCCAAACCCAACTGTGCATCGGAATTACATGCAGTTATACGGTTTTTACATAGGAATCACCTATGCTGTTACAGTTACAGTTATTACATTGCAGACTTCCAGTACACACACCTATCAAATCAGAATTTCTGGGGGAGGAGGTGTGGCACATTGTTTTTTAAAAGTTCCATTTCAAGCCAAAACTGGTTTGGCTCAGTGGATAGAGCATCGGCCTGCGGACTGAAAGGTCCCAGGTTCGATTCTGGGTTGCAGGCACATCCCCAGTGGGAGATGTGCAGGAGGCAGCTGGTCGATGTTTCTCTCTCATCGATGTTTCTGACTCTCTATCTCTCTCCCTTCCTCTCTGTAAAAAATCAATAAAATATATATATTTTTAAAAATGTTCCATTTCAATGCACCACTAAAGGTTGAATACCTGCATTTGTTTCTGCATGATTAGGACTTCAGAAAATTTAGGTGCCTGGCTCCATTTCATATACTTCTTGTTGAAAATTGTGCGGATTCTTTGAAGAAGACACAGATATTAAAGATTGGTCTGGTGACCAGGCGTTTGATAGTTTTTGCGAAGTTCTGATGGACTGGTAGATTTCTGACATTGACTCAACACTGTTTGCATGTGCCTGCACTGCCCTCTCGTTTTACTGAAAGTAGATACTAACAGAGCTTTCAAGTAAGCAAATGTGATTGCTGATGGGAGGGTATCTACTTCTCACTGTTCTACTTTTTAGTCACTTAGGCTTTCTAACCAAACCTGACAGAGAATTATGTCATCTGGAAATCTACATAGTTTTTTCAAAATATATTTTTATTGATTTCAGAGGGAGAGGGAGATAGAAACATCAACGATGAGAGAGTATCATTGATCAGCTGCCCTCTGCATGTCCTACACTGGGAATTGAGCCCACAATCCCAGCATGTGCCCTGATCAGGAATCGAACCGTGACCTCCTGTTTCATAGGTCCATGCTCAAACCACTGAGCAATGCCAGCTGGGCAATCTAGATAGTTTTTCAAAAAAATATAACATGATTTGTAAAATTAACAAATGTTTATTTTCAGAATTATCAGAAAATAAATGATTTTCCAAAGCCCTGGGAATTCTCCTATGCATTCTTTAAAAACACCTTTTGAGTATATTTGCAGATGCACAATATATTTTATACTGTTTTGTCATATGGCTTTTTCATTTACCAAAATATCATTACCATCTTATACCAATAAAAACACTGGGGTATCATATTTAACCATTGGATGGGTATTCTATTGCACAGGTACCACTTAATTTATTTGATGAATCCTCTCTGGTTTATAGACAATCCCGTGAAAAACTTTCTGGTAGCTGTATCCTTGTATACAGAGTTAATCACCTGGGAGCAGTCTTAGGGGATTCACAGTCCTGTTATTCTCAGGAGATTCGCAGGAAAGAGAAGCCAGTCAGTGTGTCACATTTCCAATTTAGAGACTGACTAGGTCTTAGAATTTATTTGAAATTCCTAAACATTTCAAAAGGGGAAAAAAGAGGTCACCTTTAACAACACCGTTATTTTGTATCTGCTTGGCTTTGTTTTGTTTTCGGTGACTTTCAAACATACAATCCCATTTGCTCCCCACAGAGGTAATTCAGTGATGTGGGAAGAACAAGGATAACCAGGACTTTGCAGATAAAAGAAAACTGAGGGTAGAACTTAACTGTCATTTAAATTAATGGCACACTAAGTCAAAGTCTATAATTAGATATGTCAGGTTTTTTTAAAATTGTGGGTATTTATAATATTTCACCAGTTAAACGTTTTCTTTGATAAATGAGGACATCATTTTAAGTATAATTGTTTTCTTTTTAAAATTACAGATACAACTGATTTCTTTACCATTTCAAGTTCAATAAAATCAGTTTACTTCCGGAGTGATAAAAGCCACTCCTTAGATTGTTAACCTAAGTAACAAAATCTAAACATGAAAGAATAACAGGAAAAATTCAGAGAATCAAAGAAGAGTTAAAACTTTGGTTAACTATTCACACTAGTTTGTTAAAGTAAAATAATAATTGAAAAATTTGGGGATTAAAATGGAAAGACAAAATTGCATGCATGCAGAAATATGCAATATTGAATATACCTTGATATATATCTCTTTGGGAAAATATTCTCTGTGCTGTACTCACTTGAATAATTCACTGTCTTGGAAATGTCTGCCTTTGATGAGTCTTTGGGAGAATTGATGCAGTGAGGCCCAGTAGAATGGAGGCCAGATTCCAAAATGAAAGGAATCTCAACCTACTGTATAGTTTACTGACATATTTGGCTCACAGTTCACCTACTCCCATTTAGAATGTAGCTCATGAGAACAAGACCTTTTGTCCTTTTGGCTCATTTTTTTTTATAACTCCAGTGCTAAAAAAAAAAAAAAAAAAAAAAGTGCCTGCAACATGGAAGTCTCTTGATACCAGGAAAATATTTGTTAAATGATTAGGAAATGGGAGAAAGCTGAGACCTCACCCCCAAACACACATTGTTCCACAGAAAGGGAAATGAAAATAAATCCCCAAAGAAAACCATAGATATTAAGGGGAGAGAGTTGCATCCTTTACTTACATGACTGTTTCGGTTGCAAATATAAGTATGTGTTTTCATTAGAAAAATTAAAATTTTAGTAAGAACTTGAATTGGAAATTCAATTTTTTGTGTTGTTAATGCTCACCCAAGGATATTCCCCCCCGCCCCCCTATTGATTCTTAGACAGAATAAAAGGGAGAAGGAGAGACACAGAGAGAGAAACATTGACGTTAAATATATCAATTGGTTGCCTCCTGCACTTGGGGATGGAGCCTGCAACCGAGGTATGTGCCCTTGACTGGAATTGAACCTGAGACCTTTCAGTCCACGGGCTGACGCTCTAACTACTGAGCCAAACCAGCTAGGATGGAAATTCAATTTTTAATGACAATTATTCTGAGATATAATTCACATACCATGCAATTCATCTACTTAAAGTATATAATTCAATAGTTTTATTAGACTGAAAGTTGTGTACAACCAATTTTAAACATTTTCATTACCCCCAACGACCCCGGTAAACTATATTCATAACACTCCATTTCCCTTCAACCCCTAACACCAGTAATATTCTTTTATAAAGTATGTATATTAATTCCTAGCAGGATTACTTCTAGACATATTTAACAATTTACTGTAATTTTATTACTGCTTTTTGTAGTACCTTTTAGTATGCTAACAGTTTTTGAAAAAGGTTCAGATTTGTGAATAATATAACTTGTTACTTTTTTTTTTCAATTTTAGGACACTAACATAGCTCCCTTTGTGGCCTCCTCACATCGGGTCTTCGTAGAATTTCATGCAGAATATGCAGTGCGTCCGTCAGCAATACAGTTAACCTGGGACAGCTGAGGGCGCCACACGGATTCAGCACCGTGGCTCATCTGCAGGAGCCTCAGACATCGCCCTGGACAGAGTTCTGCCATCCTGATCCGTGACCCTGCCTATGCCACTGAGAGTAACTTTAACACTTGTTTTTCACCAAAGAATGTGTGGAATCAATATTTGTACATTTTTAAAAGTGTAGAACATAACTTCCTTAATTTTGGCTGTGCTCGTCATTCTTAATTCTAATATTTGAGCTGAAATGTTCTAAACTTCCCTAAAGAGTTGGAAGTGATTATGGTGTATGTGCTGTAAATTTTCAAACGTAAATGATAAAACAGAGGTGTGATTTTTACTGTGAATATCAAATTATGTGTAATAAACTTGAATTGTACATAAATATGCTACATTCATTTTTAACTTTTCCATATGCATGCATACAACTCCTTTGGCTGATCTCTTACCCTTCCAACCCTCCCCTACCTTCCACTGTAGTTTGACAGTCTGTTCGATGCTTCTTTGCCTCTATCTATTTTTGTTCATTCACTATAAGATGTAGGTGTATATAAATTTTCAAGTTGAATTTTTACATTTAAGGGAAAGAACACTGGAGCCAGGCTGCTGCATTCGGATTTAGTTCTACCAGTTAAGAAGTGTTTACTTAATTCTCTCTGTTTCAGTTTCCATAAGTACCACCAGTTTAAAAATATAATACGTGGAGTTATAAATAGTTGAACAACACTTTTACAAACTTTTCTTCTGCCGTTAACAAGAGACTTTATGTTAAATATTCAAAGTTAGGTCCTATTCAGAACATGGGACCAAGAGAATGAAAGAAGCTTTGGGTCTAAGGCCATACCACCCTGAATGCGCCCGATCTCATCTGATCTCCGAAAGAAGCTTTGGGAATGTTTTACTTTATTGTACTCTTATATTCAAACTAGTGGCCCAGTGCATGAAATTCGTCCACATTAAAAGGGAATTAATTAGTGGAAATATTTTAATATTGCTATTTGCCCTTTCTCTATAATAGAAGTGTGAGAGATGAAAGAAAATGAGCAAAATGTATATGAAAATTTCCGTCCTGTCAGAGTCTGGGGCGCACTGCGGGACCCAGAGCCATGTCCCTGCCCAACCGCACGCACCTCGAAATAACGCGAGACCCTGACCCGGCCGGCCCCACCCCCGTCAAGCCCCACCGGGGCAGGGGGCGCACCTCAGGTCCCCGGTGCGAGGGCGCGATGACCCTTTGCAAATTAGCTCTTTCTTATAAAGGATGTATGTGTGGGCGAAAGGGGCCATTTGCTAACCTGACCGGCTCAGGGGAGGCCTGCATGATGGTCTTG